CCTAGAGTCTACTGTCCATTTTGCAACCTGCCAGTTAGTCAGTTTCCCTCTAGAAAAGTGAACAAGATTCATCATTGTTTCTCAACATCTCACTTTTCCTCAGTCTTTTATAAATCTAGTTTTTAAAAAACCTTTATTAAAAAAACTTTTGACATTTACCTATTTACTCTCTCCTTCATATATGTATATTTGTTTGCATATAACTAACTGCTTCCATGTTATTCTCTGTCAAGAGTGAGTATACATAAAGAGAGGTTGGGCATGGTAGTTGATGCCTATAATCCCAGAAATTTTGGAGGCCAAGGTGGGAGGATTGCTTGAGGCCAAAGTTGAAGACTAGCCTGGCAACACAGTGAGATCCCAGGCCTGGAGGCACGTCTGTAGTTCAGGTTCAGTAGGCAGGATTGCTTGAGCCTAGAGTTAGAGGCTGCAATGAACTATGATTGCACCACTACGTTCTAGCCTAGGTAACAGAACAAGACCCTATCTCTAAATAATTGAATGAATGAATAAAAAAATAAATGAAAGAAGATGCTATAAAACTGAACTTGGGCTACTCCATTATTTAGAGGCAAGGAAGCTGAGCAGTCATTGAGGATGTCAAGATGGAGGAAACTAGGAGAAGGTAGTGCTCTGAAAACCAAGAGAAGAAAAGGTTTATAGAAGGAACAGTGACAACTGCCAGATGCTACCTAATGGTTCCGTGAGAGCAGTACTGAGACTTGATCATGGATTTGGTGACTTGGAAGTCATTAGTTCATCTTCACAAACATGGTTTCTTTCATTAACTGGTGGGAACAAAAGCCTGCTTGAAGTGGGCTATGGGGCAAAAAAAGAAGAGGGTATATAGAACTGTTTAGGATGTTGCTATAAAAAGGATCAAAGAAATGAGATGTAGGGAATGGGGAAGAAGAAATATTGAGAGTTTACATTGAAAAATTTAATTTTTGGAACAGAATAAATGATACCTTCAGATGTTTAAAAATTACATGTATAAAAATTTTCCCTACCGGTCCTATTCACATTTATTCAGCAAAGATAATTATTTGGTTTCTTGCACATTTTTTCAATGCTTTCTTTATGCATATAAAAATATAACCCCACTTTTTTTTTTTTTTTTGCGGTTTTTGGCTGGGGCCAAGTTTGAACCCACCACCTGTGGGGGCCAGTGCCCTACTCCTTTGAGCCATAGGTGCTGCCCTAACCCCACTTTTTATGCAAAAGACATGATAATACTGTTCTCTACCTTACTTTTTTTTTTTTTTTTTT